TCCGCTGATCCTGAAGGAGTTGGCAGATGAACTTGCAGCGCCACTGTGCAATCTGTTCAATTTGTCATTCACTCAAGGGCGTCTACCGCGGCAGTGGAAGGACGCTGTCATTGTTCCACTGCCCAAAGTTGGGGATAGAAGTGACCCCGGGAACTACCGACCAATCCGCCTTACTAGCGTTGTGGGTAAAATAATGGAGCGACTGGTGGCTGCACGGATTCGGCAGTATTTGGTGTGCCATGGTCACCTGTGTCACCAAAAACACGGCTTCCGGCCGGGTCGCTCATGCCTCTCAAACCTGCTACTTGCACGTGAATACCGGACCGAGGACAAGGCCAAAGGACACGAAACGGACATCATCTTCGAAGACTTCAGCAAAGCCTTCGACAAGGTGCCGCACGACCTCCTTCTGCAAAAGCTGTCCAACTTAGGTGTAGGTGTGGTCATGAGGAATTAGCTGCGAGACTTCCTCATAGATCGGAAATTCTGCGTCCGTGATGGCAAATCGCTCTCTGCGTGGTATTCCACTCCCAGATGGGTCCCTCAAGACTCGATTCTTGGTCCACTGCTCTTTGTGGTATATAAGAACGACCTGCCCGGTCAACTGTGAAGCCCATCCATCATGTATGCTGATGACATCAAAATCTGAAGTACAATCAAGGAATCGAATGATCGAAGTTCTCTTCAAGTGGACTTGAGTATGGTGGTGCGGCGACACACCCTTGCACGGCCGGTGAACTGGCTAAGTTGGCGCGTGTACAACGTGTTGCCACTAGACTCGTTGTTGGACTACGCGGGACCAGCTATGAAGGTCATCTACAGGCTACTGGTCTGTTCCCAATTGCGCATCGACGCCTCAGGGGAGATCTCATCTACCTGAGGAAGATCCTGAGAGGTGAAATGGGCCCGAAGCTGCAACAGTACTTCCCTTTACGGACAGAGCACCGCACGCGAGGGCACTGTCTCACGTTGCGGAAACTTCATTCAGTTGGTCTTCCGTTAGTCTACCGACAACACTCTGGAATTCCCTTGCAGCGATTGTGGTGCAAGAGAAGACAGACGGTGCTTTCAAACGGCGTCTGGATGAGCAACTGAAGGAGCTATGGAGGAAAGAACAATTGCGATCGAACCTTCAACCCAGTGGTGATGGGGCTTACACGGGCACTCTGCCCTCAATCCTGAAGACTGAAGATCGATCGGTCGTGTGGTTTTCGGGCCGGCATAAGAGGAGGATAAGTTCTGAATCCGATGCTACTTAAGTGTTGGTAAAGAATTAGTTGTGGAGCGATGAGCTATTTGGGAAATTCGGAATGGAAAACGTTCAAGCGATGATGACACTGGTCCAGCGAACTATTTTTCGACGTGGGTTCGGTAAATTGATAATCTTGATAATATTCTGAGAGTCTCAGTTGACGCACCACGGTCCGGTTGGAAAGTGTCCTGCAGGATAAGTTCACTTTTTCCTCCGTCGCTCAAACTCGACAATCGCTCGCTCGCAACGAACGCGTCTTAATTAGTTTTTATTGTTTTGAGGTGCACCTTCTTAATGGTATCTCCAAATATCAGTGATCGCACCGGACGGCACCAGTTCACTTGAGTTATTCAATTGCTGTTACACGGCAACAAGGGTTCTTGATTAGTACAAATTAAGGATGCATAGGGGGCGACCGCGTGTTTTATTTGAGTTTCTGAGGAGCACTCGAAAGAGAAATAAACCATAGCACCCCACAGCGACGTTTATGGACAAATACACGAAATGCTTACAAATCAAAAACAGTGCACTGTTTATTTTACGTATAACTGCGTGAAGTGGAAAGGTTTCTCATGGACCACTTACCCATTCAGCGCCACCGCTTCATTATATATCCGGAAAGTGTTGCATAAATTCTACCATTCCTTATTAGTGCACACCGTTTTTTTATCTTGAACTCATGATAAAACATTTTCTGTGTCAGATGATGGTTGTTTTTCGATGAATTAAGCAATTCACTTATTGTTTATCAAAACGAAAAGTTTTCAAACAAGCTTACGCAATTTCAGTGAGTGCTATGCTCAGTGCAACATTTTAAAAAGTCCCTGTTTATTCTTGTTAATTAGAATTCTTGTTCTTTGTGTATTGCTCAACAGCTACTATTGATCGCCGTGGAAAAAATCATGTTTCCATGGAGCTTAGTGGTAAACTACAAGACAGAAAAACTCAATTTTATTGCAAGCTCTTATCTTTACTGGAATTCACTGCAGTGCATCTAACCAAACAGGGGAAGTTGAATGGCTCCCTTTATTTCTACTCAGCAATCCATGTCTCGCTTCCACAAGCTTAGTGCGTCAGATAGCTCACTGAGATAATGAGCAACGTGATTGCACGCATACAATCCACGTTCATCGTACTGCATATAAAAGGCCCAAAGAAAATTTGCGTATCAATGAGGTATAACATCACATCTCCCTACACAAACTGGGGAATTTGATGTATCAGAGCTTGGTTTTCAACCTCTTTAGGTGTCTGTAGCAATGGTAGTATCAAACGGAAATTGTGTTTAGGAGAAATGTTTGTAACAATGGAAACCAGAAATAGTTTGTAGCAACCACAACGGACTGCTAGTGGCAATCCATTTACCCGAAACACAGCCACTTCATTTTCGCTCAGTGCGAACAAAGAATTAGGACATTCCGCGAAAAGAACTTGGAAGTTCAGAGTTATCAAACGATATCGAAAGCGACTGTGTGAATTCAACGAATGCGCCTACATTCCCTAATTACCTGTTGTGTTTCACATGCTTGCCAGAACAACATCAGATATGAGTAAAGATGAAAGTGAGTTTACCAATGTGTGCACGAATAGTCTGGGTATTTAAAAGGCAGGACCTCCGATTGTTCCCTGCAGTGAATTTGGGTTTCATCTTGGGTGAATCTTTAACCCACCGTAGCTGTCGAAATCGGGTGTCTTGGTTTCATAGTGATTGTGAGATCTCTCAATTTGTACAATCCCTCCAAATACTATGTACTGTGCCGTTTACAGACAAAGTGAAACAGATCTGTCAGCGGTTGGCTGTTGCAGTGACTAGTAGACCTTTTACGGATATCCAGATTGGTTCCTTGATTGGTTCGATGGAGCCGCAGTGATTATAAGACCTAATACAGTAATAACAGCTGTATAGAGCTTTTAGAGTACAGCCAGCTTGATAAACCCCCAAAACATTGTTTATGTTTCCTCGTTCTCCACTTGAAAAACATTATCATTGATA